TCAGCCAAAATTTCCAAAAGTACCCACGTGGATCTAAAGGTTTTCAAATCCAGAATTTGAAGTCTTTGTGCCTAAGCTAAAGTACGGTGAAAGTAGTAAGACTTGACTTGGGTGAACACAATACAATATACAAATGACGTGTTACAGAATTATATACCGGAAGCTCATATAATTTTAATAACCAATGTCACACCAAAAAATTCGACAAAAAGTTAAAGAGAGGGGGGGGACTTACAGCATGTGACAAACAAGTAAATAAGGTGCTCAGTGACAGCAGTGTTGCTCCCTCTGGGAAATACAACTGGGCTGGTGTTCCCACTATACTGATTTTTTTTGTATATGAGGTAACATACCTTGCTTTTTAAAAAAGTGTACATATATATGCAAGTATTAATTTCTTAAGTAATCAACAGACCTTACCCTCTTGTCAGAGGTTAGAGTCGTGTGGCTATTTAATTAAAATTTGGTTAAAAGATGGGTTTGACAGTTGCCGGATCCCCATTTCAAGTGTTTATAAGCCACAATCGACTGGTAGCTACTCCGTTGGACAGCGCTGGCTACAGTAATCCGGTGTTTATTAAACAACTATCTGAGCGCCAGCAGCATGCCGGCCCGGAAAGGCAGTGTGGACAAGGCCGACGCCTGCGGGGCTTGGAGGGGCCTGGGAGCCGCCAGACTGGGGGCCAGACTGGGGATCGGAAGGTGCCCCCAGGGGTCTGCCTGGGAGACTGAGGCCAGTAGGAGGTAAGAGAGGAGAGGAAAGCTTTGACCTTCAACAGAAGGCTTTTCCAGGAGGAAAAAATGCTGTAGATTTTGAAGGGAAATATTTGTAAGAGGAGTTAAAAAAGTGTTTTTGCACAAAAGCATTATTCTTAAGGCTAATGAGAAGTTCCAAGATGACTCCTTTAAAACCAAACTCAACTAGTCACATGGTTCCTTATGTTTGTGTGGGACCTGCTCTTAGCAAGTAGTTTTGGCTCTCAGGATTCTGAAGACTTTTGTCATTTGGGGAAGGAAGAAAATGTCTTTCTCCAGTGAATGTATGAACAGAAAGCTCTTAAATGCATCTAAGACTGTATTCCATGGTTGACCTTAATATCATCTAGGAGAGCTAAGTGTTTGAGGAGGGTAAGTGGAAGTTTGATCATAAATGTTAGGGTATATGGCTTTTTTGTTCTTATTTTATTTGGGGGTTTGCACAAGATCTTGGTAACACTTTACCTGTGTTCTTTGGCCAAAGGCTTAGGTTAAGATAATAGGTTCAGTTCATTGATCAGTATAGCCCTGTTCTTTATAAACACAGATACATTAATTTCTCTGAGGGGGAGAGGACTAAAAATATATGTGTAATTCAGTGTTTTCTAAGTCTAGAACAGCTCTTTATATCATAGGGGAAGAAATGGCTAAGAAAGAATGATGATAACCATTTAGAAGTATAAGCAAGGATAGGAAATGTTTTATGTAAAATATTTGTGTTGTACTTCACTGAGAACAAATTGTACAGCCCTAAAACATACCATATACAACACAAATTGCTGGTACAAGCACCTTATTAACTCTGCATCTAGGGACAGGTAGCCTGATAATAGCTCTGCTTGAGTTTTTCCTTCAAAGTTAGAAAGCCAACCAGTTCCTGGGGTTACAGTCCATGCCCCTGTGGAACATGCTGGGCTGTTTGCTAGATGGAGATATTTCATAGGCCATAAATAAGAATAGCCTTTCCTTAGTTCCAACTTACTGGGGGGAAAAAATTTAGGTTTTCCTCATATTTCCCCCAACTTTTGGCATCTATTGTTTTGTCTCTTTTGATGTAATTTTGAGCTCAATGGGATATTCTAATTGGGTGCACAGCAGCTGTGTTTTTTCCTTGTATAAGTAATACATATTCATTGAAGAAAAAATGATATAAATAAGCTAAAAAAGTAGCAGAAACAGAGAAGCAAAAATTTAAAAATAGGAATCTCACAAATACTACCCATTCTACAATTTAGACATTCTGATGTGTAGCATTTATTTAGTTATATAAATAAAATGCAGCCAGCATCTTTATCTTTTTATGTAATTATTTATTATAGCCTGTTAATGTCTGCATTGGTTTTAATTTAATCATCACCATGGGTGATTAGAAGTTTGGTGTGGGGTTTTTATTTGCTATTTTAAAGAGTATTGAAATGAGTATCTTGTAAAGTGAATCTCTATCTTCTACCAAATTGCTTTTTAATTAATTTATTTTTTAATTCAAACCTGAGGATATTTTCCCATTTATTTCTAGGGAGAGTGGAAGAGAGAGGGAAAGACAGAAGCGTCTATGTGAGAGACACACATCAATTGGTTGCCTCCTGCATGAGCCCCAACCAGGGCACAGGCCAGGAAGGAGCTTGCAACCAAGGTACATGCCCTTGATCGGAATCAAACCCCGCCCTGACCAGTTTGGCTCAGTGGCTAGAGCGTTGGCCTGTGGACTGAAGAGTCCCAGGGTCGATTCTGGTCAAGGGCATGTACCTTGATTGCGGGCACATCCCCAGTAGGAGGTGTGCAGGAGGCAGCTGATGGATGTTTCTCATCGTTGTTTCTAACTCTGTATCCCTCTCCCTTCCTCTCTGTAAAAAATCAAGAAAATATATTTTAAAAAAAACACACACACACACAAAAGAAACCCGGACCCTTCTGTCCGCAAGCCACTGCTCTATCCACTGAGCCAAACCGGCTAGGGCCCAAATTGCTTTTTAGAATGGTTTCCTTTACCCACCAGTGGGATATGGATGTTTACTTCTGCCACCTAAACACATTTGAGGACCACTAATATAAATCTGTTCTATTGTTAATTTGAAAACATTCTTTTAAAATAACAGTAGGGTAGAAGGTTTGAACAGTAGTTAACTCAGAAGAATGGAAATTAGCAAGAGTAGCAGGAATTTTTCTACCTTTTTGGATTATTTCACTTAGTACAATAATTATGTAATATTTTTTTCTAATCCTCACCTTAGAATATTTTTTTCCATTTATTTTTAGAGAGAGTGGAAGGGAGTGGGGGGAGAAAGAGAAACATCAATGTGAGAGAGACATAAATTAGTTGCCTCCCACATGCACCCTGACCAGGACCGGGAACTGTGGGAATCTAACCCGGGACTCTTCAGTCCATGGGCCAATGCTCTATCCACTGAGCCAAACTGTCTAGGGCTGTATTTTCTAATTAAAGTAATTGGTAATTTAAAATGATCTTTAATTTCTCCTTATAACAAGGATAACTTGTAATTGGGGAAGGTCCCCCAACCAGTTAGGTAAAACTTACCTCTTTTTTTAGTGTAGCAAGAAGAGTGGGAAATGAGAGTAAATTGGAGAGGGTAGAAGGAAAACTGCTTAATGTCATTTGTGGCTCCCAGCTCTAGTCCCCATAACTAGGCTATAGTATAGCTCAAATTTTTCAATGAAAACAGCAGTGTCTTGCTGATAGCTATAGAAAAAGAAACAAACAAACAAAAAACAACCCAAAAGTTTAAATAGGAAATAATGGAGTTTTAGTTCTCAAGTGTTTATACCCTTAAATTCATATTTAATTGGAACATGAGGTATGAAGAAGCATGAATTTGACCCCAAAAGTTAAAACATCTATTTTTGAGCAGAAGGCCTACTAACTATTTTGGACCAAATAGCTCCTCTGAGTTGTATACACAAATGTACAAGTGCCTGCCCAACCTTCTCTTCTTAGGTAGTAGCCATGGAAGATTTGGGGCATAAGAAGGGGAAACTAGGGTCATTTCTCCTTGATTAGAACCTCCCAATGTATTCTAAATCTAGATTGGGAGGCAATGCCTATCTATCACTCCCCTCTCTCCCCACAAACACACACACACTGGCACATGTATACTCTTTTTAAAAAATACATTTTTATTGATTTCAGAGAGGAAGCAAGAGGGAGAGAGATAGAAACATCAATGATGAGAAGAATCATTGATCGGCTGCCTCCAGCATGCCCCCCACCAGGGATTGAGCCCACAGCCGAGGCATGTGTCCTAACCGGGAATTGAACTGTGACCTGCTCGTTCATAGGTCAACGCTCAACCCCTGAGCCACACCACCTGGGCCCCATGCAAACTCTTGGACAATTGTGTTCTCCCTTGCAAGGTAATCTGGATCCCCTCACACTTCAGGGAGGCTTAGTTATTTCAAATGCTGCTGACACAGTGCCAGGGAGAACATACCTTTCACCAAAGTTTTTTTTTTTTTAATATACTTTTATTTATTTCGGAAAGGAAGAGAGAGATGGAAGCATCAATGATGAGAGGGAATCGTTGATTCGCTGCCTCCTACACGTTGGACTGAGCCTGCAACCCAGGCATGTGCCCTTGACCGGTATGGAACCCGGAACTCTTTGGTCTGCAGGCCGACACTCCATCCACTGAGCCAAACCAGCTAGGGCTTCACCTAAGGTTTGTTTAGAACTTTAAACAGGCTGGAAGACTGCCTGATGGAAAGCTTTGCAGACCTGTCATATTCTGGCTCCGCACTGAGTGGGACCCCTCCTATGGCCTCTGCTTTCTGCAGTAATTCCCACTCTGCTCTGTCCCCTTACTGTGCCTCTGGAGCCCTGTTCTGGGAGGGCAGCACATTTCTTTACATCCTTAGCCTTCTTAGAAAAGTGAAGAGACATGCTTTCTCTACTGAGCCATACAACCCTCTGCCCTACTCACCCCAGTAAATTCTGTTGCCTTCTACTCAGGGAGGAAATTAAAGGTCTCAGTGTACATTCCCTGAACTTCTTGCTCTCCCACTTATAAATTCACCTGTATTGGTGCCCATCCTAGCTGTCTTCTGCACAAGAAGAGCTGCCCTTCCTCCAACAAGAGTAGAATGATATATCTCATTTTTAATATGCATTTATATTATTTCTTGTAATTGAACATTTTATTTTTTAGTGTTTACCATCTTGATGATTTGTATTTTATGGCTTGTCTTTTTTTTGTAAATGTCTCTTTTATGGTGTTTATTTTTTTCCTTACTAGGGTAAAAACAATATCCTCAAGAAAAGTGTAAATGCAGATATCTAGAATTTTCATGTATCAAGAAAGATCACAAAAAAAGCATTAAAAAAGGAGTTTTAAGTAAAGAATTCATAACTCAATAATAGAGTCAAATGTTTATATTCTTTTGCCTCGCAATAGCTTTTAAGGAAACAATCCTAATTACAGAAGAGATTTTACATAAGATATTATGGCATTTTTTTATAATAGGGAAGATTGGAACTGTGTTCTACAAGGAGGATTGTAAAGTAATTTATGGTACAGCCATACACTTTAATTTATTTAGCTATTAACAGATATTCAGAGTTGTAGTTTTGTTTTGTTTTTAATTGATTTTAGAGAGAAACATCAATTTGTTGTTCCACTTATTTATGCACTCATTGGTTGATACTTGTATGTGTCCTGACCAGGGATGGAACCTACAACCTTGGCATTTTGAGATGACACTCTAACCAATTGAACTTCCTAGCCAGAGCAGAGTTGTTACTTTGAAGTATGCTAAGTCATACAGTTTTACCTTGCCTATATTTAAAATACAAAAAGAAAGACAAAAAAAATACCAAAATATCAACAGTAATAAACATTAATATGCTTTCCATTTAATGTATGTTTGTGATCAGAAAGTTGATTTTGTTTAGATCCAAGTTTTCTCTCATTTCAACATCTGCTCAATCCCCTACAATCTTTACACAAACCCCTATGCCAGTGATGGCGAACCTATGACACATGTGTCAGAGGTGACATGCAAACTCATTTTTTTGGTTGATTTTTCTTTGTTAAATGGCATTTAAATATATAAAATAAATATCAAAAATATAAGTCTTTGTTTTACTATGGTTGCAAATATCAAAAAATTTCTATATGTGACAGGGCACCAGAGTTAAGTTAGAGTTTTTCAAAATGCTGACACACCGAGCTCAAAGGTTCTCCAGCACTGCCCTATGCGGTACTAGCAGTGACTGTTTTTATCTTTATTTTTAAAAAATAGATTAACATTCTCATCAATAAAGTACAAAATAAGGTTTTAGAGAAAAGTCTCCCAGCCACTTACTTTCTGTGAGAGATTATTTCTGTGAGGTTTTATGTACATACTAGAGGCCTGGTGCACGAAAATTTGTGCACTTGGGGGAGGAGGAGAGCCCTCGGGATGTCCTACTGACGGCTTCGGCCTGCTCCGCCTGGGGAGCGGGCCTAGGCCGCAATCTGGCCTCCCTCTGCTACCCCCATCACGCTGCCACTGCTGCCTGCCTCCCTCTGCCGGAGGAGACCTGTGGCCTCCCCAACCCCCATCGCCTCTCTGCTGCCTTCCCCCCATCGCCGTCCCCTCCCTCTGCCCCCTGGCACTTGCCTGGCTGGCCTGGCACTGCCTGCCCACCAACTGGTTGTTCCACTGTTTAGTTAATTTGCATATTATGCTTTTATTTTATAGAACTAGAGGCCTGGTGCATGGATTTTTGCACTGGTGGGGGGGGGCGTGACCTGCAGGATCAGCCCGCTGTGGGAGCGCCACTCATCCCGGTCAGCTGAGCGGCTCTCCCACTGTGGGAGCACGCTGACCACCAGGGGGCAACTCCTGCATTGAGCATCTGCCCCCTGGTGGTCAGTGCATATCATAGCTACTGGTCGACTGGTTGTTCTGGTCGTTCCTTCATTCAGTCGCTGGGCTTTTATAGATATAGATAAGAAAGTGAATGTGTGATGTATTACATAAACAACACTTTCTGTACATTTTACATACCACAGTGTATCCAGGAAATTATTTTCTTGTTAAGGGCATTTAAGTTTTCTAATTTTTTCAATCACTTCTTGTGCCTTCTTTCATAAGCCTTTCTGGATGTTTTAAGCTCATGTTTCATTTTTGGGTATTTCCTGATTCTTCTCAAGTCTCCCTTGCAGGATTCCATCTCCTCAGGGTTCCATCCTCGGTCCTCTTCCTAGGAGTTCCAGCCTCCCGCTACTGTCTGTCCTGGTGACTCACAAATATGGAATTTACAACCCAGACTTGCCCTGAACTCCATACCCATGTGTCCAGTTCCCTAGGGATTCTTTCATCTGGACATCCCATAGGAAACTTAAACTTGGTATCCCTTTTGTTATTCCTTACACACTTCCCTCCACAAGCTGCTCCTTTCTTATTCCCTCAAGCTACATGGTTCCCATTTCTCTAAACCAGTACCTCAGTTCCGCTCCATCATCTTCTATACTCAATAGGTAAGCCTGCAAATTAGAACGACTTTAACAGACCAGGATGGGTAGCTTGGTTGGATAGAACATCATCCAGACCCACCAAAGTTGTGGGTTTGATCCCCATCAGGGCACATAACAACAATCAACCAATGAATGCATAAATAAATGATCAACAAATCTGTTTCTCTCTCCCCCTTCCTCTCTCTCTAAAAAATCAAGAAAAATAACATTTTTTAATAAAAAGAACCACTTTAACATTTTTTCCCTCCCAGGTTTCTCTTTGATTTCTATTCTGCAATTTGGTTCAGCAAACATGTACATCACATTTAAATGCTTTATGGTAGTTTTTAAAAATATATATATTTTTATTGATTTCAGAGAGGAAGGGAGAGTTAGAAACATCAGTGATGAGAGAGAATCATTGATTGGCTGCTTTCTACACACCCCCCACTGGGGATCGAGCCTACAACCCGGGCATGTGCCCTTAGAATTGAACCTGGGCCCCTTCAGTCCGCAGGCCGATGCCCTATCCACTGAGCCAAAGTGGCTAGGGCGCTTTATGGTAGTTTTTTTTATAATTCTAGTTAAAGTGGAATTTCACTGGTTGAGAGAAATTGTCTAAAAGGTAATTTCACCCAGTAAGCTGGGAGGCAAAATGGCTTAAGATGCAATATGGCTAATTCCTCCTCACTTGGCATTTGGCATATTGGGGTCATTTCATTCTGTATAATAATTTTGGAATCTCTGTCAGATACAATCATAGAAAATCCCCTAAACCAGCGGTCAACCTGTGGGTCGGGACCCCTTTGGCGCTTGAATGACCCTTTCACAGGGGTCGCCTAAGACCATCCTGCATATCAGATATTTACATTACTATTCATAACAGTAGCAACATTACAGTTATGAAGTAGCAACGAAAATAATTTTGTTGGGCCACAATATGACGAACTGTATTTAAAGGGCCAGAAGGTTGAGAACCACTCCCCTAAACCAAATGGGCCCATTTTAGTGACGTTGTAGTATACTACT